CTTAGAGTTACTTGTGTGTCTACAATAGCTAGCCAGCTCTGCCCTGCCCATTCCTATTCTCCACTCATTGCCTTATCCATAATCACTTGTTCAGATATTGTCTTCCATCTCCCAGTTACCTCCCAACAACTTAGGGTTCATTCAAATTAGCAGATGTAATGTTGTTATAGAGACTTTCTTCTTGGGTTCTAGCATCTTTGAGTGCAAACATCTAATGCAGTGGTTCTCAACCTGTGGATCCGCAAGCCCTTTGAGGGTCACATATCAGATGTCTTGCATATCAGATATTTATAGTATGATTCATAACAGTAGAAAATTACAGTTATGAAGTAGTGATGAGATAATTTTGTGGTTGAGGGGTCACCACAACATGAGGAACTGTATTAAAAGGTAGCAGCATTAGGAAGGTTGAGAACCACTAATCTGAGACATCTAGAACCACAGCACTTCAGAGTGAACTATGAGTGAACAGCAGTTTGCTCCTTCTGGCTCGCCTTTCTTGCTCTCCTGTCTTATAGGATAATATAAGTTCTCTATGGGCTCTTTTATGTGCTAGTTGCTATATCCGGTTATGGGTAATTGATGGAATGACCATGGTGTAACTCATGGAAACCAAAGACCTCAGCATGACTGGGATAGAATAGAGTACTCTGGCTGTCCTTCAGCTGCTTCATATTTATTTCAAAGGAAACTTTTCCTCTGCCTCCTGGTCACTTTGTGGGTAGGAGAGGCCTTCAGACCTGCAGAGTGTGTGGCCATAGGTCAGCCACAGGCAGAGACCATCCTTTCTGGTTCCCATGCTTGCTGATTCACCGTGGCTCACCTTGGAGCATGTAGCCATCATCAGTCCAAAGAGCTGCAGTGAGTCTACAGAATTGCCCAGCACAAATGTAGCGGCTCTGGCTTGTCCCTGAGAGGAGAAGGGGTCAACGTCTAGACAAGGAAGAAGTCCGTAGTTCCATGATGGATATGTGCCCTCAGGAGGCATCTAGTCCATTAGATTTAGATGTATTCATCCATCATAAACTATGACTGCTGCTGATGTGGTAGCCAATGTTCAGGGTTAGGCAAGGTAAGCTCCTTCCCTCAAAGCCCTGGCCATTGATTGTCCTATGCCTACTGTGGAAACAAACTGAGCACTTGTCAATTTGCCTAGTCTTGTTCTCTTAATCATTCCCTTCCTGCTGTTTTCTTTCTCATCTACCAAGTATCTATTGACCCCCTCTATCTGCTGACATTATGCCTACTTATGTGGGGGGAGCTATAAGCATACGCTTGGCTTTTGTGTGGTGGTATCTGTGAAATGCATTAACTCAGGGTTTGTCTCAGGAGTCCAAATTTGAAACCTTCACCATAATGTGCTCTGCTATATATGGCACAGTGTTTTCCTTATGCAATAAAAATTTGTGAAAACGTATCTTCCAGCTCAGGGGTAGGTCAAGATGAAGTCACAGTGGTAGAATGAATTTATCTGAATCTTGGCATTAAGGGGACCCTTAACTATTTCTTCATAGGCTAAAATCTCCCAGTCTGGCTTTGGTAAGTATAGGAAGATGAGCATTGTGGCATGCCAGGAACTTTGGAGATTCAATGTCAATCTTGTTCTCTTACCGTTTATTTGTGTCAATAATCCTTTGCCGGCAAACTATTGTTTTCATTCCTTTATTATTTTTAATTATATATATATATATATATATATCACATGTTTGGTTTGCAAGTACCCATGTTGTCCAGAGGTGTCAGGTCAACCAGAACTGGATTTACAGGCCATTTTGAGTCACCTAACATGGATGCTAGGAACCAAACTTGAGTCCTAAGAGTAGTGTATGCCTGTAACCACTGGCCATCACTCTGTTATTTCTGTCTGTCATGCTTTTTGTCCTAGTCTGCTCTAAACCTTGGGTATCTATTTCTCTCTCCCTTTAGAACCCACACCACCAGTTTCCCTCTCTCAAAAGACAGACAGTCTTAAAGATCCCTTCTGAGATGTTTCCCAGGTCTAAATTCTCTTTCCTTCTTCACTCAGCCCATGCCTTCACTGCCTCTCATCTAGATCGCACAGCTCTCCTGTCTCTTGCTACTTGGTCCATCATTGTTAGGTGCCCATCTTTCTTGATTAGACATTGTTTGTGGCTTCAGATGAAGTCCAGGTCAAAGCTGGGCCTTCTCGACCCTGTGTGTCACCTCCAGCCTGCCCACAGGCTCTGTTTCCTGAGCTTCTTGTGTGCTCGTCCTCAGCTTGAACCCTCAACATGGATTTTTTTTTTTGCTTCCCCCCATACAATTTTTGTTAACTTCATATTTAATCGGACTTCACTTGTCTTCATCCACAATGCCCTCCTCTTCCTAACAAAATCCATGTATAACCTGGAAGGCTTTTATATCTTCCAGCCACTTCTCCTCCAAAGCACAAAGTGATGATGTGACCTCTGACCTCACTTAACCTTCAATCCCACTCTTTCTTACTTGGTTATAAACTGTCACTGCTAGGTAGCTGTAATGGTGTAGATTGTCACATGATTCCTTAAACTGTGTGCTATTTTTGATGGCAAGAGGTAAGACCTCCTATTTTGTGATCCCAGCAGCATCTAACTGATTTTTCAGGTGTGACTGCCTATGGGTATCACTTACAAAACAGTACAGTGCAGAATCAGTGAGGATATGGTCCATGAAGAAAGAAATAGTGGGGATTCCCTTGGTGATAAGTATTTCATGGCTATGATGCTTAGAGGAGTGCACTAAATGGGTGCAGTCCTGGCAATAGACTGTTTGATCCAAACTAATGGTAGGTCTTTGATCTCTGTGCTGATCTACCTGGGAAACCCAAGGCATCCTTTATGGGTTCCCATCATGTGTCAGGCTTTGGGACTCCAGGAGTCTCATTCCATTGACTGTAGTAGACAAAACAGATCTCTGCTGTCCTGGAACTTAGGATAGTGGGTCTGGCAAAACATCACAAATAAATAATATGAGGTGATGATGATGAATGCTGAGGAGGAAAACAAAACTGGTTAAGTGGCAGAGAGAGAAACTGCTCTTTTATACCAACTATTCACAAAAATATTCTCCATCTGTCTGAAAGTAGCAAGTGCTTCGAAATGCAGCCTCACTGGGGATGGGGTTCAATGGTAGAGCACTTGCATAGCACATGCAAGGCCCTGGTTGGGCTCAATTTCTAGCCTATGGAGAGAAGAGAATAAATAAGACAAGCTTAAAACCAAAACAAAGTCCACTCTTTGATTGAAATCCAGGAAGCAGAGCTGACGGGGTAGCCAGGACAGAAGGAACATTCTTGTTTCCTACTGCCCCTTCTCTGCAACGAGGGGGCTTGGCAGTTTCTACTGGCCAGAGTAGACCCAAGAAAGGGTGACAAAGGGGACAAAGGAGAGGGGTTAGTCCTACAGTAAGAAATAGCCTGTGTGCAGTGCACCCATTCCTGAAGGAGCAGAAAACGGGTGTGTCTGACCTGTGGACCCAGGTATGAGCACAGAAGTGATCTGGGCTTTGGGAAAGGGAAAGCCCTCAGCCTACTCCAGGCTTAACCCTTCTTCACTAGACTGGATAGTAGTATGTCAGCTCTGGGTATGCAAGTTGCCTTTCAGTTTCCCTTTTCTCATGCCAAGGATTGAAATTCTTACAGTCAAGTTAACAAGATGATTTAACCAAAACTGATGTGCAATATACACGTCTTTGATGGGTAGAGAAGATGGGGTATTAGTTGCATAAATATTTAAGGAAAACAAGGTTCTACCCGCAGAGCTTTTGTTTTTGTGTGAACTTTGATTTTCTCTAAAGGTGGGCTGTCTCTTCCCAGAGGGTATGCTGCGTTGGAGCTGTGTGTGTGTGTGTGTGTGTGTGTGTGTGTGTGTGTGTGTGTGTGTGTGTGTGTGTGTATCCTTCTTCATACATCTCACGAAAAGTGCAGGGGAGTTTAGCTCACTCAGAAGCTTCGAGACAGGGCTTGCTATAGTGTGGGAGCCACGGAAACTACTTAAGCAAGGAACCGAGAGCTCACGCGCTGGACCAGAGCTGGCAAAGTTGAGCCTCTGAGATGATCTGACCTGTTTGTGGACACTAGCTGCCCAGCTCTGCTCGATGGCGGTGGGAGCAAGCTCTGCCCACCTGATTCGGGACTTTGGCTCCACAGCGCAGAGGTTCTTTCACCTCCTGCTCCTGTGAGAACTGCACGTGGGTCATCTCCCTAGGGCTGTTTTTATCATTGTGACTAAACATCGTCCAAGAGGTCCAGAAAATCCAGCTCCCGGGACGAGGCGTGGCCTCGGTTAGGTGGATGTCTTCTGGCTTTACCGCTGACTCCCTTGCCTCCTTCCTCTCCTGTCTCAGGCAGTCTAGAGCGGTCCTCCTGCCTTCGCCCCTCGCCAGCCTGGCCAGCGCGGGTACCGCAAGCTACATTCTCGGCCAACTCCCTCCTTGCAAACGCTCTGGGCTGCCGAGTCGCTCCGGAGCGCTAGGGTTGGGCAGGACTGACGGGGTAGCCCAAGGCCCGCGGGTCCTCAGGAAGGTCAAGGGCGGGGTGAGGTCTCTGATGAGTCCAGAGCTAGAGAAGCCTGGGCTGGGGAATCTTCTCTTCTCCACTAGTCCAGGTTGGGTGGGGCTTCCGAGGACGGGCGGGGTTCCCACTGGTCTACGGAGGGGCAGGGTTTCAGGCAGGGGCGGGGCCTCCGCAGATCCATGGAGAGGCGGGGCCCCAAGGGTGGGACCTATTCACAGGTCGGGGTGGGGCGTCTCCAGTCACCGAGGGGTGGGGACTCGCAGGTCCAGAGCAAAGGCTGGGTGGGGTGGGGTGGGGCGGGGCCTGCCGCTGCCTGGGCGGCTGTGGCTACAGTCTAGTCTCTAGGGGCAGCCAAGGTACATAGCGGCCCCAGTCTCTCCAGAGCATCCTTCGCGGCCGGTCCCCGCCTGCAACACGCTCTCAGCCTAGGGCCTGGAGGCTGACTTCTTTTGTGTTTTGTTTTCTGCCCCGCGCCTCATCTCTGCAGGACCCGTTCGTTCTTCTTCGGGCTACAAGAAGGCAGAGGATGAGATGTCCCGGGCCACGTCTGTTGGAGACCAGCTAGAGGCACCGGCCCGCCTAATTTACCTCAACCAATCTCATCTCAACAAATTCTGCGACAACCATATCAGGTAGGGGAAGCCGCAGCCCGGTGAAGCTCAGAGCTCACCTTCACGGGGTGGTTTCTCAATCACCCGCTCGGCCCTCAGTTCACTTGCTTCCCACAGCACTTTGCATCTCTGCCTCCTGCACCCAGCTTGAGCTCAGAGGTCCACACCAGGTACCCAGTGGGCCATGGGAGCACAGGGGCTGTCTTCCTCCGCTTTGCAGTGCTGTGCCACAGTCCCTATGTGGGCCCCGGGGAAGTTACTCTAATGCCAAAAGTGAAGGTGTCTACTCACCTCTGGACTGCCTTCCAAGAATCTCCGTAGTCTCCATGTAACCGCATTGATAGTTCTCTTTGTCATCCTGAGTAGTTTGCAGAACGTCTGTGGGGAAGTGCTTTATTAGGCGATCGCACAGGCCCTAAGGATTCACATTCATTTCCCAGTGACCCACTGCATTTGCTAAGGGTCTTGTTTGCTAGGAAACTTTGTCCAGAGCCAGCAGAAAAATGAATGGAAGGTAGCATTTTAGCATCTGCTTAGTGTCTGCTCTCTGCTGGCCAGTGTGTTAGCAGTGCAAGCATCTCCAGTGTCTCATGGAACAAGTCATTACCTCCAGATCAGAAAACTGGATAGAGATGTGACATGGTGCACTATGATCTTATATTAACAGATACTAAATGGAAAGGCCAGAAGTCGAACCCACTCATCTGAGCAGCAAGCATATCCCAGCTGCTGTGCAAGACTTGTTTTTTAGCTTGGCGTTAGCACACTTTGAAATGTCATTAAACTTTTGAGCTTTGACCGGCTTCACCTCTTCGAGTGATTTCCGAGGATAGTTTGTGAACTCCGTAGGTCACCATATTCATGCCTGGAAGATACTGATGGGCCAGGTCCCGCAGAGATTATTGAGATACAATCTAGTACTCTTTTTTTTTAAAGTAAAACTTTGGCTAAAACTTTCCTATTGTTACATATATAACTACTACACTACCTCAGTCATGCTACACTGGCTGTCTAACTTGCAACGAGATATGGTTGTTGGTCATTTCTATAGCTTGATAGGATTTGGGGAAGAATAGCAATGCACCTATGTGCATTTATTTTATTAATGGAGTGTTAGATTGTGTGGCTTTATTTTTGTGTTTCAAGAATAACCTTTGGACACATTTTACATTTAAAGAAGTAAAGCTTAGGCTATCTTAATCTTGATTCCTGAATACGTAGGCTTGTTTTGAGATATGGAACATTACAGGTATTACAAACAGCCCATTATGGCATTACAAACCAGGGTAAACGTACTAAAAAAAGAGGAAACTGGAGCCTCATACATTGCCAATAGGAATGAAAGATGGGCTGCTGCTTTGGAAAGCAGTTTGGCATGTCTCCAAAAGGATCGGGGTAAAATTAGCACAAGACCCAGTAATTCCAAAACCAGGTATACATAGCTAACACATGTGGAAACAGTGGGCCTCGCAAACACATGTACACTATGTACATAGCAGCAGAACTATGGTTTCAGGAACACGCACACATCCAGGTCTTCATTCAGATGAGTCTATGAAGTGCGGAAGAGCCACACAATGTGACAACCGCTGGCTAGAAAATGATATGAAACAGATGAACCTTAAATGTTATTAAGTGAAAGAGTAAGTTGTGAAAGGCCTCATTTTGTAGGAACTGATTTATGTGAACTAGCTGCAAGAGAGATGTATCTCATGATACACTAGTGATTCCTGGGCTGGCGAAGGAAGATGGAAGATTGGGAGATGGAGAGTGACTGTGCAGCTTGGGATGATGGCTGTGTTACTCTGAGTACATGGAAAGTCATGACGCTGAACATTGGCCATATAGTTCCAGGTCTCCACACCTTTCATATCTCTGTTGAATTCCTTTGGAAAACTCTAAGGTCATTTGAATAAAATTAATATTGTGTAAAGAGATTGGATTGGAGCATCTTTTTTTTTGAACTTCAGTACTTTTCAAAAGTTATTTTTGCTTTGTTCCACCAATTGTAGTATCTTTTTGTGGTGGTTTGAAACAGTGGCAATCTCCCCACCCCTATCCCTAGTTTCCACAGGAAGTGTGCTGTTTAGTTTTTTGTCAGCTTGACACAAGGGTTGTTGGTATCCTGGTATTATGCTGACCCCGCCCCCGACAATGGGCAGGATAGGCACACCCACATTCAGGCAGATACTTAGCTCAAAGGGCCCTGTGTTGCATGATACATTATGTGGCTGCATAAGGACTCTGTAAGCATGAGCAAGCTTCCCCTTTTAAGCGAGCACCTCCCACCCCTGCCCTCTCTTCCATCTCTCAGTCAGCCGACACCTACCCCTCCCTTTGTTCCCTTTCCCAATAAACTCCACATGGGTTTGTTGAGTCTTGTGGTTCGTGTTTCATCACCCGAAGCTGCAGCAAACAAGGGTCACCTGGGGAAAGGGACCCTCAGCTGACTGTAGGCAAGTTTATGGGGGACATTTTTTTTGGTTAATGGTTAATGTAGGTGAGCCCAGCTCACTGTGGATAGTAGCATCTCTGGGCAGGTAGTCCTTGGGTATCTAAGAAAGCAGGCTGATGAGCCGTGGAGAGCAAGTCAGTAAGCAGCACTACTCCATGGTCTCTGTTTCAGCTCTTGCCTCTGGTTTCCTGCCTTGAGTTCCTGCTCTGACTTCCCTTCATGATGGCCTGAACTCTGTAGACTGAAATAAACCCGTTGCCCCCAAGTTGCTGTGCTCATGTGTTGTCATAGCAATGGAGAGTGAACTGGGACAGGAGGCAAACATTAGGGAGCAATGGGGCCTCAATACCTGTCTGTATCAGGCTGGTTTTATCCTTAGAGGGATTCCAACTGGTTACCCGATATGTTTCCTTTTGTACTTTGTTTTGCAAGAAGGGTTTGGAATAGGCATGTGTATTGAATTAGCTAGGAATAAAGCAGGCATTTACCAGCTGTATAACTGTACGGTTGGATTCATTTTAAATATATCACACCATGTATTAAAATGTCAATTTCTGACTTCGTGGCTTATCCTGTAAGAATGTTTCTAAATGCTCTGGACCTAGCGTGGCCCTTGAGCTTCTGTGTTCCACTTCTGCTGGGTGTTAATGGGAATCACTAATGACCGTCAGTGGCTTGTAGTTCATTTAGAACTGATTACAAAGCTTGACATTAGAGTTTGTGGCTTTCACCAAACATTGAGGTATGCAATTGGAGCACTTTAGCAATGCTGAAGTCAATTTTATCAAACATTGAGTTTTTCCAAACTAAGATGTTCAAGGGATTGTTTTCATAAAAAGGAAATTGCCAAAGTATTTCTTTTTCTTAATTTTCCATGAGAAAAGGCTGATATTTTCTCATAGGCAGAAACACGGAGGAGGTCTTTCTCAGACCACCCCTCTCCCTCTCATTCTGGGGATGGAACCTGCCTTGTACACTCTAATCAAGTGCTATACACCTCAGCATGTTACTTCTAAATCAAGCTTTTTGGGAAGAAAGGCTCCCAGGGGTCAGCTGAGGGTCCCAGTGATCCACTGACTGGCATGTCTTTTCAGAGCCTGACCTCTCCAGGTCAGGGTTCTTTGACTCTCCTCAGGCCCTTTCTGGCTTAGACCGTTGCCTGTGTCACCCTGACATTACTCTGTAATTGCTTTTGAAGGTGCTTGGCAAGGTTTGACTTAAAGCTATGGACAGAACCATGGAGTGTGACAGTGAGGAAGGGGGCTGTTGAGCATCTGGGGAAGTATGTAAAAGATAGTGTACTGTGCTTTAGCATCAGAACTGGTGGGACTCAAGGAGGAGGCTTGACCTGGAGAATGTCCTGGAGAGTGAGTGAGCCATCATATCTGGTTGGCCCTACACCTCCGGGGGATGTTCTACCTGGGAATTCTAAATTCTGGGCAATCGGAATTTAGTCCTGAGAGTTATGTCATGTGTGTGGGAGTCTCTCCAAACCTCAGTCTTGGACTCAACCATGAAGTAATGTCTGATCTTCTGCTTGCTGATGCTTTCCACCAGAAAGCCAGATTCTGGTCAGTTTTGAAGCAGCACTTTTCTCCTAGGCATTGGTTCTCATAAGAGGACAATGATTTTCTTCATTGTGTAGAAATTAAAAGTAAACCTGGGCATGTTGATGTGCACCTTTGATCCCAGCACTCGGGAGGCAGAAGCAGGTGAGTTTGAGGCCAGCCTGGTCTACAGAGTGAGTTTTGGGACAGCCAAAGCTACATAGTGAGACACTATCTCAAAACAAAACAAAACAAGCAAAAAGAAATAAATAGCAGTTAGTGGAATGTTTCAGTGTTCTTATATGTATGGAGGGCTATGCACTTAACAAGAGCTCCTTTCTCTGGTGAATGCTCTCTTCTCCTTTTACACATTTACATGCACAATTGGGACACCCAAAGTTATAGTTCGGTGATGTTTTTGTTTATTCATGGAACTGTGTAACCATCATAATTGTAGAATTTAGACCATTTATACCACGTCAAGAGAAAGTGTACCATCTGTCAAGCATCCTTCTCTCTCCCAGTGCCATCATCTATCAATTATCCTTCTCTCTCACTACTCCATTTATATGGCGTCCTTCTCTCTCCTGTCTGCCTCTGCCCCTCCCCCTCAATATCTAAATAACCATTAATTTATTTTATGTTTCTATGTGTCAGCCATTTCCCAGGAATGGGACCTTATCCTTTTTTGTAGTTTATTTAAATTAAAGTGTACTTATAGGAATGTGTTGGTAAATCTTTAATTTCTATAACTTGGCATAACTTGCCAAAGGAATGATGAAAAATATTTATGATACCACAGTTAGCAATATGTCATCCTTCTCTGTGGTTTTCTTTTTTTATTTTTATTTTTTAATTTTAAATGGCTTGTTTTACATGTCAATCCCAGTTCCCTCTCCCTCCCCTTCTCCTGCACCCCCCACCATCCCCCCATCCTCCCACCCTATTGCCAATTCCTTCCGCATAGGGGATATCTAGAGTCTATCATTTCATTCAGGGTAGGGTCCAGGCACTTCCCT